TCTGAGCTTTTAAAGGAGAATAGGCAAGGGAGGAGAGGTTGGGAAGTGAGACAAAAGGCAGGCAGTGTACATGTGTTAACCTATGCTGCACAGGCCAAGGTAGGGAACAATCTCAACTTTCAGCTTCCTTGGTATCAGAGTGGGAATTTGCAGCCTTTTAGCCTCCAATCTCAGCATGAGGAAGCTGTTCTTAATTCAGAAGAAGGGGGAGGAATTCAGCATTCATGTTTGTATGGAGTTTAAGTACTTCTTGGTCTTGGTCTATCTATTGAGCATCTAAGAGAACTAAACTCACATGGTTCCCAGTGTCTGGGACGCTGCAGTCACACATGATGTATGAAACCAAGAAACAAATCAGGGCCAAATTCGGAGAGTAACGAATACATTACCTGACAGTAAAGTGGGAACCCAGAGTGTGGGTCAAGTYCCCCCCCCTTTTTAATGTTTTTATTAGAACATTATAGTTATACATAATATTGAGGTTCACTTGGACATAATCATACATTCGTGGAATATAATTTGCTCCATTTCATTTCCCAGTACTTCTTCCTTCCCTCTCTGTCACTGCAATTTTGAGTATATAAAGGTTTAACTCCATGGGGATGGAAAGCATGCTTAATCTCTGGCCTGGGAGCTGAAATTTTGGAGTCAAGCCTCTTGTCTTCCATTTACTAGCTTGATAACCTTGGACAAGTTGTTAGAGACTGGGGCCTTCCAGAAAACTGAGGCAGTGCAAAGGACCCCCTTCAAGCCCGAATTCTTGCAATCAAGTCAGAAAGGTTTCAGAYATGTTGCTCAGAGATGAGTTTAACAAAGGGATAAAAAAAAAGGGAAAGAGGACACTCTCAAGGGAGAGAGCTGATCCTCTCAGGAGAGGGACAGTGTGCCTCTCCTACACTTGTTTTATTGCGGATCCCAGAGAAATTTCCAGAGTCCCACCCAGGCCACCTCTTAACTTTTGACTGATAGCAGTTATACCTCAGATTTTCAAGTCCCCACTGCCATGACAACTCTGTCACCTTGGCCCATGCTGACTGGTTCTATCTGGATTCTTAATCATTTTTACAGGTTTTATGGTTAGGAGGAATTACCCTTATCTCCCTGAGTTTCGGGATCTGGTCTATCAAGAGAGTCACAAAAGTCTTCCTCTTCAGGGTAACGTGGGTTACCCTCTTAACATTATTTGTGGCCTGCATTTCTTCAGCAGGAAACAGGTAGTTTGCTGAGGAATGTGACATAGCCTGTCCACTTAAGCCAGGCAGGCCGACAAGTAAGTTGCTTTTTAAAAAGAAAGCATGTGGGGATCAGTTTGGTGGTTGTTTCCCTTAACCTCATGCTCCCATCACTTGCATCTGTCTGTCCCCTAACAAAGTCACCTATGCTCTCTGCACTTACCCACAAAACAAGATAATACTGAATCCTTCTGAGGATCAAAAGCAGCTAAAAACTGAATTAAAAAAAGTTATGACATATGACAGAGGCAGCTCAATGGTAGGGAGCTTGCTTAGCAGGCATGAGGCCCTGGGTTCCAACAGGAACAATCTCAACTTTGGGTGAAAGGAGGAGGGGTGGAAAAAGTGAAGCAACACTTTCAGAATGTTTTCATATACATTTCATTAGCATCTATCAAAAAGCAGCAATGCACATTAGCATTCCGTTTCACACAGAACACTGAGAGCCACTGTCCTAAGGTCACACAGACAAGATTCTGAACCTAGTCTCAGCACTTCTGGGAACTCCCAATCTCGGTCTTCGCACCGGGTTAGTGAGTACTCCCTTATGTAGGCGCCAGGGAGAGTGGAGACCAGCTGAGAAAGTTACCCAGAGGAAAAGCTCTGCGAACTGGTTTAGCAATGAACACCGGAGGGGGTGACACGGTCCACCTGCGTCGAACAGAACGCGAGCCCAGCAGTCACAGTCTCACCCTCACGGTGCCCCTGGACTGCTCCCCTCTCSTGGGGAGGGGAAACGCAGCCTCGCCGCCACCCCAGACCGCCACGCGGGCTTTCTCCCTGGGCCGTAGGGGACAGAGAGGGGGTCGGAGAGGCTAGGGATTAAGGGTGAAACCCAGGGTTCTAAGGAGGATCCAAAGTCCCGGCAGGACGACGGACTGTCCCCCTGCTAACCGAGCCCAGAACGGGAAAAAGGCGACGACCCAGGAAGCGGTGAGCCGAGAAACCACACGGAGACCGCCACCGCCCCGCTGCCCGCGCACTGCCGGGACCGCCAGGCCTCACGGCCCAGCCAATCGGCCGCGTCCTGCCGCGCAGGCGCAGTGAGAYCCGCCCCTCCKCGCCGCCGGAACACCCCCGCGGCGGACTACAGGTCCCAGCGGGCGGCGCCCCAGCATCCTCCGCGGGCGGGATGGCCGCGCGAGGGGCGGGGGCAGAGGTGAGCGGGCGGCGCCGGGCCGCCGCAGCCGGCCTTCCTCYCGCGCCGCACGCCCCGGCSAGGGGCCCGGCTTCCTTGACAGCGGATTCGTAGGCGCTGTTCCCGCCGCGACCGTGGGGTCGTCCCGGCAGAGCTYTGGCCCTGATGGGCCACGGGCCGCTTCACCGTCCTGAGCCGGAATCGCCCGAGCGCCTCTGCGTTCCGACAGGCTCGCGGCCCCACTCGCAGGTCCTCGTGTCCCGACAGGTGCGACCCTGACCGCCCATGCCTGCGGGCACCGGGAGGCGCGGCCTCCCCCAGGGCCTCCACCTGTGCTGGCTCTTGTGCGCTTTCACCGTGGAGCTCTGGTAAGGAGGCGGGGGCCGGGGAGGGCCGGAGGAGAGCCGTCCCCACCGGGGAGGGGGACGCCTGGCCGCGGACCGCTGCGGCGGGGGAGCCGGTTTTCCGGATTCTAATTTTTGCCCCTTTTCCCCTCCSCGCTACAGCCGAGCAGAGGCTTCCGTGCGGGAGGAGAAGCAGTCAGGTGGGTGGCTGTCCGACCCCACGCCCCCGGGGTTTATTGTTTTGCGTGTCTTCCCTACACACCCGGAGCTCGGACGGAAAAGGGTGGCACCGCGCGGGAMGAGGCCAGCGCTGGCCTGGGATCTGGGTGCGTAGAGCTTCGGGGGCAAACGTTTTCTGAGTGGTCTGGGCCGGTATTTCTTTCCCCTTTTAGTGAGCACCTCGACTTTGCCGTGCTGGCTGGGAGAAGAGTTCGTGGTCGCAGAAGAGTGTACTCCGTGTTCCAGTTTTCAGGCTGTGAGCATCCCTCCCCTCCCCCGTTTTCCCCCAACATCTAGCCAGTCCCCAAGTCTCATTAAGCATGCCTTTGCATCCTCTTTTCTTTCTCCTTGCAGTGTCAGTATACGTCCAAATCTGAACTTGTCTTCCCCCTGAAAACATGCTCCTCTCTTTCCAAGTTAATAACAGCGTTCAGCTGATAACCAGGTTTTGTTCTGCTTTTGTTTTTTGTCTTGCTGTACTGGGGATTGAACCGAATCCTACCATCTAGCTCTCTATCATCTAGCCTCATCCCCAGACCTTTTTTTATTATTTTGAGACAAGGTTTAAGTTGGCCAGGATGGGCTGGAACTTGAGCTCTTCCTGCCTCAGGCTCCCAAGTTGCTGGAATCACAGGCATGCACCTCCATGCCCTGTGGTTCTGTTCATTTTTAATACACTATGCTCTGGAATCTGTCCTTATGTCCTTCTACACTCTTACCCTGAAGTGTTTTTTCCAACACACATTTCTAATCATGCAACCACCGCCTTCAGCATCCACATCAGAGGTCTTTGTTAGCTCTGTTTTCTGGCCAGCTCTGGCCATGGCATTTGAGCACTTGCCCTTTTGAATGGCAACCTCTCTGTTTCTCCTGCAGCTCTTCCTAACACATSCTTTGGTCCTTTTCTCCCGGCAGAAAACCATCCCTGAGTGTGGTTCCACAGGTTATGTTGAGAAAATTACATGCAGCTCCTCTAAGAGAAATGAGTTCAAAAGGTAAGGGCTTTTTCTTTTCTTGTAGACTGAATATCTCCTTTCCCCCTGTGACTTCATCCTGGGTAGCATGACATGTTGGAAAGAGGGAATTTGGAGCTAAATTACTTAAACCCAAGTCCTGGTTTTACTTCTCAACCCTGTTATTGGCCATATTTTCTCTTCAATAACATCAGCTAATGCTATCTTTGTTATCTCACCAGATGATGTAAACACTTTATAAGGCTGACTCTGTTTTCCTCTTTTTCTTTTGGCTATTACCTCCTTGATGGGGCTGAAGTAGAAGGGAGATGGAAAGGAGAAGCTGTCTGGCCTTCCCTGGGAATAACTGTTCCTTCCTATCCTCAGCTGCCGCTCAGCTCTGATGGAACAACACTTATTCTGGAAATTTGAAGGGGCTGTGGTGGGTGTGGCTTTGGTCTTCGCATGCCTTGTCATCATCCGTCAGCGACAACTGGACAGAAAGGCTCTGGAAAAGGTCCGGAAGCAAATTGAGTCCATATAGCTACATTCCACCCTTTTATCCTGGGTCTTACAGACCATATCTCAGAGAAAATGAAATGGACTGATTTGCGCCTTTGGTTCTTAGGAATCTTGTGGTGGTAACCCCTTCTCCCCATCTTCCTCTCCATATCATTAATAAGCACAATAAAAAAGAGTAAGTTAGTTTCTTTCTCCCTATAGTAATTTGTTTTGGGACAGGAAATCATGGGAGCAGAGAGAAAAGGGGGTGGCAATCTCCCAAGTACCTACCTTCCCCCCTTTTACTACTTATTTAAAACTTCTGGGATATAATTTTAACTAGAAAATTTATTTCTTAGTCAAAACTTTGTTTCCCTCAACCCTATCCCMAAAGAAGAAATAAAATCACAGATACATAACAAAAGTATTTGAGGTACTCTTTTCACACAGGCTAACTGGGCCTCAGGATACAGATGTCTCCTAGGTTGTCCTGAGGTGATTCAGACCCCCTAAGACAAAAGAGCACCTGAGTGGGAAGCCCAGGGGGAAGCAGAGCTATAGGGGAACCCTGGGTTCCTTATTGTAAAGGGGAGTGGGCCAGGAACGTTCCAGCTCACATCTCATCTGCATGCAGCACGGTTCTGATATGCCCACCGGACCCAGTCTCCACGCCCCTCTTCTCTATCAGTGTTCTGGTAGACGTGTTTGCAATCTGGGCTCTAAGTGACTCTCCCATTTTGGACTCTTCCACTGGAGTCTCTCGACTTTCTGTCATATCCACATGGGTCAAGATATTTCTGGAAACCACTGTGAGGTGAAGGAAAAAGCACAGAGTAGAATGTTTCTCTTGGGTGGGGCACCCTAGACAGAACAGGCAGGACCTCTCTCCCACTTCTTGACTATTGTGTGCAAAGCCCTCTTGCTCACCAGGGAGCTTCTCACCTCCATGAGGCTGGTAGTCCTCAGGCCCCGCTTCTGGTAGACCCTGAAAGGGACTGAAGCTGGGCAGGATGATGAGAACCAAAGAAAAAAGAAGGATCTGGAAGAAAGCAAGACACTTGGGCTGTGGGGACAGTCAAGGAAGGGAGCAGAGGGCAGCTGGGGTTTCTGGGTTGGGAAGACTGATGTAGCTAGGGAGTGGGAGGTATCAGGATGGAAGTGTGGGGGGAGACAGATGATAGAGGCTGGGGGAGATGGGAGGGAGACAGACTGATGGTACCAGAACGCAAGTGCTTGTCTGGGCAGCTTTGTTTGAGGTTTGAGCAATGAGCGTCTGGAGCTGACGGAGCTGAGCCACCAAGGAGCTGGGAAAGGAGGAATGAGGAGCTACCGTCATCTGGGAACCACGGCCCAAGAATGGTGCTCTGCACTTCCCCATCCSCGGCACATAAATGGTGTTTTCACTCACAGGTTATGTCTCTCCAGCTCCTGGACTTTCTTCTGTAGCTCCTGGTTCTGTGCAGAACAGGCTGCCACCCTAGGGAGTGGGGAGAAGCAGGACAAGGCTCAGCAATCTGAGTCCTKCACCTTGCCTGCCTTGGTGAGGAAGGGAACCAGACATAGCCTCCTTCAGAAATGTGATCCCAAAGTACCTGTTCTCCAGCCCATCGATGTATTCTTTCTTCCGCCGCCGACTGTCCTGAGCTGACTGCTTGTTACGGATTTTCCTTCTGACCTTCTTGAGGATTCTCTCCTCTGCCTGGTAGCCGGGGGTGTGTCAATTCTGAGCCCTTAACCTCCCTCAACTGCCCAACTTTTCCCTGGGATCCTGGCTTCTCAGCCATAGTGGATCCTCTGGACTGAGACGCCCTTTGGGAAAGGGAAGGGTGTTACCTTGGTGAGGGGCAGGTGAGAGGGCAGAGAAACCCCTTCCTGCCCCAGCAGACGCTTCTCCTCATCTGTCAGGAACAGAGTTTGACAGGGCAGCTGGGGGATAGTGAAGATAAGATGGGAATGGGGACAGGGTCATCACATTTTCAGCACACAGCAGCACCCCACCATGTATTCTGGAGAGTGCTTAATATTTGCACTAAGGAGTAACTCCAACCTAGACGTGAGCTGAGGGCCAGGCACAGTGGCACATGCCTGTAAGGCCAGCCTCAGCAATTTAGGGAGGCCCTGTCTGTAAGTAAAAAATAAGAAGAGCTCGTTCAGTGGTTAACAACCCCTGAGTTTAATCCCTGGTACAAAAAAAAAAAAAAAGGGACTGGGGTTGTGGCTCAGTGGTAGAGTGCTTGCCTACCATACACGAGGCACTGGGTTCAATCCTCAGCACCACATAAAATGTAAAAATAAAGATGTTATGTCCATCTAAAACTTAAGAATAAATATTAAAAAAAAAAAAAAAAAGCGAGCCCAGGGCAGAGGCTTGAGACAGGCCCTAGACAGAGCCAAGGATCTCCTGAGGCTGATAGGGGAGAAGGTGTGGTTTCATCATATCTTCTGTTCAGAGACTTGGGACCTGGACATTCTGATCAAGCTAGGGAGTGCCTGCTCTGATCCCTGTCTCCCACAACTTGGGAGCATCTTAAGAGGACATGGAGTACTCACTACAGTGGGGTTTGCTCAGTTTCCTTACAGCAGAAAAAAAAAAAAATCCTTACAGCAGGTTAATAATCCAGATCCAGCCATTAACTTCCATTTGGCAGAGTATGTTATCCAGTGCCCATCAACCACAGAACCACAAGGTCTGAACTCCATTTTCAGGCCTAGATTCTGCCCCCTCTTAGACAAGGAACTCCTGTAGGCAGTCACACTGAGTGACTTCCCACAGTAAAGCATGCAGAGTGGACAGTGGACAGATGGTGACTTCGGTTAAGCTGGACCCATCAACAGAGTAAGCTGCATTCTTTTTTGAAAGATTTATGCTTGACTTTGTGACTTAAGAATTTGTTTTAGCTTTTAGCTAAGCCACGCACTTTTTTTCTTTTTGCAGTACTGGGGATAGCACCCAGGGGTACTTTTTACTTTGGGACAAGGGCTCACTAAGTTGCCCAGGCTGGCCTTAAACTTGCAATCCTCCTGCCTCGGCCTCCCATGGAGCTGGGATTACAGTTGTGGGACACTGTACCTGGCTTGACTTGGCTTCTGGTTCAAGCTTCACCCACAAGTTTAGATGGAAGCTAGAACCTGTTCCTTGCTTTGGGCTTGGGAAGTATTTCCCAGGATAAAGGAAGACAGTGACCTGAATGTAGCCACCTTTCCAAATTCACTGCACAATCTCCACCCCCTCAGAAGGCTTCTGATAGGGTTCCTGAAGAGCTGGCCCCTGGGTATTTGCTACAGTGGAAACACTGTTGCAGTTTCTTCTCCATCACTTATATCCACCAACCAGTTGGATTCCCAGGCTACTGTCCCAATTCTGTCCTGACCCAAGGCTGAAACAATGGCTCTGGCTAAGCATGCAATGCACACAAGGTGTGGGCTTTCTCCAGAGCCTTGTCCCTCATCCCAACTTAACTGAATCATCACCACCTTATCCACACGGGCTCCCTCTCTCACCCCTTTGTCCTTTCCTGCTCCTAAAGTTGCTTACATTGCCTTGGTGTTCAGGCTCAGTGCCACGAAAAGTGGGGCAAAGACAGTTCCTCATCAGCTTCCTCCTCCCTCATCCCCTGTGCCACTGTCTGTGAGGATACACGTATGTATCCCAGAGCACTGGTCTGACGAACCCCAAGACTTACAAGTGTGGCAGGAGGCACTGGGGCTGCAGTGCTTCGGGGCAGGATGTGTGCATGATTATCAAAGGGCAGTTCACTGACCATGCAGGCATCTGGCACCATGAATTGTGGGCTCCACTGATCTGAAGGAGACACAAGAAGCTGGGACAAAAGAGAGGTTCACCCTGAGGCACCAGGGGCTGGGCAGTGGCATTGGTTGGGGAAATCCCCTTAATCTCATGGCTAGGGCTGGGCCTCTTCCCACAAAGAAACTGACCTAGCTGAATGGAGATGAGTCCTAAGGTTGGCCTGGCTTCCCCCTGCATCCTCTGCAGGGCTTCTGCCTCATAGACAACCTCATAGAGGGCAGGAGAGCTGGGTGCCTGCACGGCAGGGGGACTGTCTGAGAGGCCAGGATCCTCAGAGTTGCCACTGTCACTGCCAGGAGATGCTTCTGAACAGTACACCTCATTGGGATCAATGAAAAGCTTCAGGAAATCTTCAGATTCACTCTCTTGAAGTCCCTATAGTCGGAGAAGGGTATACAAGTATGCCAGGAAGTCCTACCTGACATCAGATTTAGATCCTTCTTACTTCAGTTTCAGTCTTTTCTTGGGGATGGGGATAGTTACAACTAATATCTATTTTGRGTTCACTGTTTTCAGGTCTCTTTCCAAGTGGGTGCTGAAGCCTCTTGGGTCTTCTTAGCCCAGAGTTGTGTCTCAAGCCCACTTCCTTCCATTCCCATTCATCACACTTACACAGCCATGGCCCCCACTAGAATCCCAGCCTTGTAGCGCCTGTTCTTGTAGCCTAGTCACTGGAACCTCTGGAGGGGAACAGTTGAATCCCAGTTCCAGTAAGGATCCTGTTGAGAAGATATCTTCTGGGGGCTCCAGCAACACGTCTAGCAGGTCAGGGGATCCGAGCTCCATGCTTCTGTAGGAAGGTGTGCAGGAAAGTTACAGAAGGGAGATGCTCCTGTCCCCACCCCCACACCTTCTGGGCTTCTCTGCACCCTCTTCCATATCCCCCTTCCTTACCTGCCCCAGCCCCCACACTGGCCACCGGGAGACTTCGCCTCTGGCCGACGTCTTACGTTCAGAAACCGGGTATTACCTGCTGACCGCCCCAAACACTACACCTTTTCTTTCCTCCAGGATCTCACATCCTGGTCCTGCCCAGCCAAACCCCGCCCCCCGCCAGACACCCGGAAAGCGGGTGGCACTTTGCACGGAGCCAGGCTGGGGGCGCTGTATCTGGGCCCTGGGGTGCGAGACGCGGAACGTGCGCCCACGGGGTTGAGGGAAAACAGGTAGCCGCGCCTTCGGTGCCTCGGGGTCTCCCAGCGGCAGCTCTTTCTGAGAGTTTGAGGTCTCCTCGGGGAAGACGGAGACGGCGGTGACGGGAGCACGACATCCTTGAGTGCCTGTTCCCCAGCCATCGCTTTTATTGGAGGGAGACCACCGCAGGATAGCAAAAACAAAAGTGCCAAGAGTCACGCCCCAAACTCGAAGCGAGCCTCCCCCGCCGCTCGGCGCTCYGCCCACTCCGAGTCCCAGTGGGAAGCTGAAGACCGGAGGGTTGAGGGACGTGGCATCAAGCCAATGGGATTATCGGCTCAAGACCGACTCCTCCGTAATTGGTCAGAATGGTCGGAGTCCGGCCAATGGGGCCGCAGTATTTGTGTGGGAGGCGGGGATTTGGGTCCGCGGATTGAAGGGCGGGGCAGAAATCAGAAAACGAGCCTTGGGGGCGCGAGGAACGTTTGGGGGACCTGGGTCGGAGCCAGGTCCGACTCAGGGTTTGCTTACCACGTGACTCTGAAGCCCCAGGTTATTAYCTGGGACTAAATAACCCGTTGGCTCGAATTAAGAGGGCTTTGCGGGGACCGAGGGACGAGGGGATTGCGCAGTCGCGGGTTTTCCAAATCGTCCTCCGAGCGTTTACGCGACCGCACGGACACAGTCGCTGGCCTGTCACGTAACGGAGGGACAGGGCCTGGAAAAGTGCAATAGGTCCAAAAACCTCTTGCGTTTGGTTTGGGAATTTGCGTGTGATTACCAGCAAACGGCTACTTGTGCCCCCGAGCTGCTGGGGTCGCCGGTGTGTACCTCTGTGCCCGGCTCTCGGTTCCGTTTGGTGTGGGTGCTGGGGACTGAACCCAGGGGCGCTTYAACACGGAGCTGCATCCCCAGCCCTTTTATCTTTTGAGACACGTTCTCGCTAAATTGCTGAGGCCTGGAGTTTGCCATCCTCCTGCTTCAGTCTCTGAGCCGCTAGGATCACAGGCGTGTGCCAACACTACCGGCTGGTTTTTCCTTTTTAAGATAGGGTGTCGCTGGGCGCGGTGGCACATGCTGTAATCCCAGTGACTTGGGAAGCTGAGGCAGGAGGACTGCAAGTTCAAGGCCAGCCTCAGCAATTTAGGGAGACCTTATCTCAAAAATAAAAGGGGGGCTGGGGCTGGGGCTCAGTGGCAGAGCGCTTGCCTAGCATGTGTGAGGTACCAGGTTGGATCCTCAGCACCACAGAAAAAGAATTAAAGTAGACCGGCCCAGTGGCGGAGCCTATAGCCCAGGATCACAAGTTCAAAGCTCAGCCTCAGGAACTCAGTGAGGCACTAAGCAACTCAGTGAGGCCCTGTCTCTAAATAAAATACAAAGTGGGGCCCGGACGTGGCTCACTGGCTCAGTGGTGGATTGCCCCTGAGTTCAATCCCCAGGCACCAAAATAAATAAATAAAATAAGCAGGGCTGGGGTTGTGGYTCAAGTGGTAGAGCAAGCACTTGCCTGGCACATTTGAGGCACTGGTTTCAATCCTCAGGACCACATATAAATAAATAAATAAAATAAAGTATTGTGTCTATCTACAACTAAAAATTAAAAGAAATAAAAATATAAAATAAAGGCATTCTGTCCATCTACAACTACAGAAAAAAGGGGAGGGGGAGGCTGGGGATGTAGCTCAGTGGTAAAGTGCCTCTTCAACCACCAGTACAAAAAGAGAGAGAGACAGAGAGAGAGAGAAGGAGGCACTCTGACTCCATTTCTCCACTTGTTGCCTGGGCTGGGCTCAGACTCCCTAATAGCTGGGATTACAGGAGTGCACCACCATGCCTGGCTGCATTCTTATAGTTAAAAAACTGTTTTCATAAACACTATTCTTATTTAATCTACAACAACTCAGAGGCAAATAGAGCAGGTGATATTTTGCCAGTTTTATCCATGAGAACAGACAATTAGAAAATAGTTCATGACCAGATAAATAATAATACCAATTGAATTTATTTTTTCTTGGATCTAGTGTCTGATGGTCCAGGAATCACTTCAAGTAAAATGAAAGAGCCATACTGATATAGCTATGATTGTCATCTGCCTGCCTCCCAGTAGTACTCCAGATATAAGGTAGCTGGGTAAGCAAGGCACGAAAGTTTCGGGTTTTTGTGCTGCTGGGGATTGAACCCAGGGGCTTGTGCATGAAAGAAAAGCAACTTACCAACTGAGCTATGGTATGATTCTCCCTYTGAAGATTTAAACAGGCTTAGGGTATAAAAACAGGAAAGGGCTAATATTGATTGAGCAGCTATTATATGGTCACATTTTCACATTATTGACATGAGTTTCATAGCAACACAGAGCACACAGAGAGGTTACTAACTTCCTCAAGGTTACTTTGTAAGTACCTGAACCAAGATTTGGATACCTGAACTAACATTCTTCACATTATATTAAACTATCTTACTGGGCTTTCTCAAATTTCCCAATTATATCTTTTCCTGTTCATCTCTTCATCCTGGTCAGGTAGTAAAGAGACAAAGCAGGCTTCTGAGATTGAAGCATAGCTCTACGAAAGCAGATATGTTCTTGTTTAGATCTTTCAGAGAGCAAGGGAGGTGGTTAAATGCAATTTGAGGGGCTTCCTGAGGCCTAATGTGCAGAGATGATTAAGTGGAAAATATAGGAGGTTTCTGAATATATTAGAACTGGAAGGAAACTGTCATCATCTGCTAGTTTAACTTCCCTCTTTCCCTGATTATCAAGCTCTGCAGAGGGAGAATAACTTTCCTTAAATCACATATCAAATTAAGGTAAAGTTCAAGAGATCTGTTGAACAACATGGTGACTACAGTTAATACTGATGTACATGTGAAAATTGCTAAAAGTATATTTGAAGTGTTCTGTCACAAATATGTAAGGTAATGGATTTGTTAATTAGCTTGATTCAGCCATTTCAAATTCTGTGTGTATATATACATTTCAAAACATCTTGTTGTACACCATAGATATATGTACATTGTTTTGGTACTGGGATTGAGCCCCATGCTGCTCTATCACTGAGTGACATCCCCATCCCTTTAAAAAAAATTTTTTTTGTAGTTGTAGATGGATAACATACTTTTATTTTATTTATTTATTTTTTATGTGGTGCTAGCAAGTGCTCTGCGTCTGAGCTACAACTCCAGCCCAACTCTTTTTATTTTTTAAATATTTTTTAGTTGTTTTTTTAAATATTTTTTTAGTTGTTGATAGACCTTTATTTTATTTATTTGTATGTAGTGCTGAGAAACGAACCCAGTGCCTCATGCATGCTAGGCAAGCGTGCTACCACTGAGCCACAAGCCCAGCTCCTTATTTTATTGTTTTTATAATTTATTTTTTAGTAGGTGGACACAATATCTTTATTTCTTTTCTTTTTTTTTTTTTTTTTGGTAGTGGTGCTGTGGATCAAATCCAGTGTCTCACTGCTCACTGGCACCCAGTGAGCAGTGAGACACTGGATTTGATCCACAGGTGAGCACTCTACCACTGAGCCACAACCCCAGCCCCCTTTTTATTTTTTTATTTGAGGCAAGTTTGCTTAGGGTTATGTTGCTTAGGGCCTAGCTAAATCTGGCCTCAGACTTGCAATCTTCCTGCCTCAGCCTCCCAAACTGCTGGGATTATAGGACTGTGCCACTGTATCTGGCTCCTTTTTATTTTTTAGTTATTATTTATTTATTTATTTTGGTGCTGGGAATTGAACTCAGGGGCACTCGGCCACATCCCCAGCCCTATTTTGTAATTTATTTAGAGAGAGTCTCACTGAGTTGCTTAGTGCCTCGTCATTGCTGAGGTTGGCTTTGAACTCATGATCCTCCTGCCTCAGCCTCCTGAGCAGCTAGAATTGTTATACTGCTGCTGACCGGTGACAAGTCCTTGCTTCCCCAATGTTGAAGAATAACACCAGAGAAGCACGCTGAGGCAAGGTCAGAGTGGAAATTAGAAGTTTATTAAAGGACATCAGAAAAGACTTCTCCCGGAGGAAGAAGGGGACCCAAGAGGTGGAATCCATGGAAGTGCGGTTGTTTCCCATTTTTATAGTTCTTTCAGTGATAGAATGTAGGTGGGAAGGCCCGAGAGGTGGGACACAGGTGGGCCAAACAAGTAATCTGGGCGCTTCTGAGTCAGCATCTTCAAGTTTGCTGGGGGCTGTTCATTAACACTTCTTTGGGATGGGCTCTGGCCTTGGGCTTTTCCCGGACTTCATTAACATTCCAAGAGTTGTTCAACTTTTCCTGGAATTCATTCTCAACATGGCCTCCATTTTAGATCTCACTCGATATTAGACCCCATTTCCTAACTACACTGACTACCTAACTTTAAATCTGGCTTCAGAATTACAGGCCTGCGCTGGCTTGTTTTTTATTTTGAGACAGGGTCTCACTAAATTGTGGAGGCTGACCTCAAACTTGTAATACTCTTGCCTCAACCTCACCAATAGCTAGGATTACAGGAGTGTGCCAAGTACTTGGGTATATATAAAATTTTTATATGTCAATTTAAAAAATAAAAAATACATAAAATTAAATTACATGTATATAAATTAACTAGAATTCATGTTTCCTCAGTCTGTCATGATTCCTTGTTAATTTTACTAATTACCAATGATATTTTTTATTTTAAAATTTTTTTAATAATTTTTTTTTTGAGAGAGAGAGAGAGAGAGAGAATTTCAATATTTATTTTTCGGTTTTCGGCGTACACAACATCTTTGTTTGTATGTGGTGCTGAGAGTCAAACCCAGCGCAGTGGGCATGCCAGGCCAGCGCACTACGGCTTGAGCCACATCCCCAGCCCCTAATAATATTTTTTAAAATATTTTTTAAATAGACCCAATGCCTTTATTTTGTTTATTTATTTATTTTATGTGGTGGTGAGGATTGAACCTAGTGCCTCACATGTGCTAGGCAAATCCTCTACCACTGAGCCACAACCCCGGTAATGGTAATTACCAATCTTTTTTTTTTTTTTTTTAAGGAGAGAGAGATAATTTTGATATTTATATTTTAGTTCTCGGCAGACACAACATCTTTGTTGGTATGTGGTGCTGAGGATTGAACCCGGGCCGCACGCATGCCAGGTGAGCGTGCTACCGCTTGAGCCACCTCCCCAGCCCATTTACCAATAATCTTGAAAGTATAATTTGCCATAATCAAAACATAGCATGCGTAATATTTCCTTGAACAATCTGGAGTTGCCTGTAATAATAACTTTTATTTAAAGTTTTTTTTTAGTTGTAGATGGACACCATACCTTTATTTTATTTGTTTATCTTTATGTGGTGCCAGGAATATACCCCAGTGCCTCACACATGCTAGGCAAGCCCTCCACCACTGAGCCAGAACCCCTGCCCAACATTTATTTTTTAATTAAGATCTTAACAGGCCTGGCACGGTGGTTCACCCCTGTAATCCCAGGGACTCTGGAGGCTGAGACAGGAGAATGGCAAGTTTGAGGCCGTCCTTGGCAACTCTTGGAGGCCCTGTCTCAAAATGAAAATAAAAARTGCTAGGAATGGGAGTTAGGGATATAGCTCAGTTGGTAGAATGCTTGCCTCACATGCCAAGGCTCTGGGTTCGATCCCCAGACCCACCAAAAAAAATGCTAGGAATGAAGCTCAATGATAGCACCCCTAGGTTCATTTCCTGGTACCAAAAACAAAACAAAAAAGAACCAACTAACAAAAACGTGGAACAGCAATGATTATTGGTAAAATATGGCCCCSTTTCACTTATGTCTCGCTCTTGGAGTTCGATACATTTATTTCTTTTACACACCCTTCCTCTAGAAGTTCTTTCCCCCTAGAGAAATTGCTGGCCTCCACATCTACAGCCTTATCTGAGGCATCACTCTGTCCCTTTTTAAGGAATGAGGCTCTTGCACCTTTACCAAAAAGAGTAGGCTGAGTCCTCTTTTGTATTTTCCTTTTTTGTACCCAATGTAAGGACAGCAGAGGACACTCATGGCCCAGGTCTGTGGGCCAGGAGGATCCAGGCTGAGGAAATAGTGAACGTCCTGAGCTGAAAACACTTTAGTGCATTCAAGGAACAGAAAACATAAAGAGGCCAGCAGGGCCGGAGGGAGAGCGGTAGGAGAGTGTGAGATGAGGCTGGAGGGAACCTGGCGCCACGCCCGAGGCACGGTAAGTGAATGGGAGCCGGGACAGTGAACTGGAGAGGGTGTTCAGTGGATAGGTTTCAGCAACCCCTGAACTGGGCCCTCCGCTTCTCCACGCCTGGGAGAAGGAAGGAGGCTGTGCCCAAGTCAGCTGGGCCAGTGGTCCTCTGGAAGGGATGACTCTCAAGACATGTCTTCTCCTCGCTTTTCCCGTTACCCTTTCGCCCCTCATGGGTGCTGGCGAGGTAAGGCAGGAAAGAAAAATTTGTCCCAGGGAGGAAGGATTTCCTTTTGGCGCCAGAATGCACTGATGGGGTCTTGAAATCTTGGAGGTAAGACAAGGGGACTTTGGGCCCTAGCCCATCAGATAGCCCCAGAGATGTGGGACGGAAGACCTGGGAGTGCGGGGCAAAGACGGGACATCCGTCTTGCCCGCAGGGTCCCCACCTCCCTCTGGCCTCCGTGGCTCGCCAGCGGCAGGCGCCCTGCGGATCCCCAGGACCGCGCCCGGCCCCGCCCCGCTCCCACTCGCCCCGCCCCTCACCGCTCGCCCCGCCCCTCACCACTCGCCCCGCCCCTCACCGCCTGCTCCGCCCCCGCCCCGTCTGCTCCGCCCCCGCCCCGCCTGCTCCGCCCCCGACCGACTCGGGCTCGGATTTCTCCGGCCCCACGTCACTCCCGCCCGGGCCCCGCCCATCCGGCGCTGTCATTGGCAGCCGGGCGCGGGGACGCGGCGGCGGGGGAGGGGGCAGCCGAGAGGAGGGGGCGGGAATTCCCGACGCGAGGCCGGAACCGAGTGTACACCATGTCGTGAGACCCCCGCGAGGTGAGTGCGGGTTCCCCGGGGCGGGGTGGAGATCTGCCGCCCAGGCCTCCCGGGGCCTAGGAGACGGGGTCCCAGCTCCACCTCTTCATCTGCTTCCCGCGACGCTGGCGACCTCTGACCCCGCCCTCCCTGCCGTCGGCGCGGTCCGCGACCCCGGGGCCCCTGGCCTTTGGCCGTCGGCCAGACGTTCCTGCCCGTGGCTCGCTCTTTGCTTTCCGGGGATGGCGCTGGGGAGAGGGGCGCGAGAGCGCGACTCAGCACGGTCCCGTTCTGCTCAGGTGGCCCGCGAAGCCTGCCGACTCCTCTCCACCGCACAAGTCCCCTTCTCTTCGCCTGTTTCTTTCTGGAGCTGGTGGGGGGAGGCTGGCTTCTACCTTCCTAGGGGACCCCAGCTCCAGGTCCTGTTTGGGTTCTCTGGGGGCTCCAGATGATATATATCCACACTGGCGTTCTTGTGCCTCAGTTTCCCTCTTGTTGGCTTCCTGAACARGTCACTTGGGAGAGAGAGTTGGAGGTGTGTGGTGGGGGGTGAGGAATATTCCTGGTACAGGAGTGGATGAGTCACCCCCAGTTGGGGAAGGCCGGAGAGTAGCTGGAGTGAGGGAACTGCACTCTGCTGACCTCCCTTCCCCTTTCCTTGGCCCCTTTTTTTCCTGAGTGACCATTCTCCACCCAGTCTGGTTTATCTTCCTAGGTCTGAGAGTCATTGGAACTATCACAACCACCATGGGGCCCTGGGGAGAGCCAGAGCTCCTGGTGTGGCGCCCAGAGGCAGTGGCTTCGGAGCCCTCGGTGCCTGTGGGGCTAGAGGTGAAGTTGGGGGCCCTGGTGCTGCTGCTGGTGCTCACCCTCCTCTGCAGTCTGGTACCTATCTGTGTGCTGCGCAGGCCGGGAGCTAACCATGAAACCTCTGGTGAGCCTCTCCTTTCCCTGCCTTTGTGGATATTTGGAGTAGCTGAGTTCTGGGGCTGGGGGAGGTGACCTAAGGAGGAGGGGAAGGCAGAAGTAACCATTACTTGGGTTGAGTAGTGGGGCCTGCAAGTGGTTCATTTGCTCATTCCCCTCCGTGTCCCACTCCTGCCCAGCTTCACGCCAGAAAGTCCTGAGTCTAGTAAGCTGCTTCGCAGGAGGTGTATTCTTGGCCACCTGTCTCCTGGACCTGTTGCCTGACTACCTAGCTGCCATAGATGAGGCACTGGCGGCACTGCATGTGACGGTGAGCACTGGCCTCTAGCATGTGACCCAGTGTGTTGGGGCTGGTCCATGGTTTATGTGGATTTGTTCATGTGTCATTCCATGACTGTGTGCAAGGCTCTTGGTATGTGAGCCTACGAGTTGTGATATTCTGTTATGGGGCCTATCTTTTTCTGTGTGTTCCTTACTCCTTACCAGACCCTGTGTGGCCCCTGTACCCCTTGAGACAGTATCAGGAACCTGTTATCAGGTGTTTGACTTACGCTTTGGGTTTCCTAGTTCCAGTTGCCAAGTAGTTAATAGTGCTCCAGGAGCCATCATCACTCCTGCCACTCTCAAAGGGCTGTAGATAAATGTTACTTCAGGAATGGGATGTGTAGGAGGCAATTCCCGGGGGCCTAGAATTGCTAACCAAAAAGGCTTTACCCTGAGGAATTGGGATGTGGAGAATGATCAAATCCAAGTCATAGAAAGCTCATTATAGGAAAAACTGAGACAGTTGGGTAGTAATGCAGGGAAGTCATCCCAAGCTCCTCCATTTCCTTTTCCCCCACTAAGACTAAGGAAGTAACACTGGATGTAATCTTCTGTATTTTTGTGGCTAAATGACTATACAAGCCTGAATGTCTTGGGACACTCATGTGAGCATTTGTTAAGGTGGGCTGGTGTGTCTACAGGTGACACTTTGTGTATATTTACATCAGTGACTCTCAACTGGGGGTGGTTTCAGCCCCCAGAAAACATTTGGTAATGTCTGGAGACTTTTTTGGTTGCCACAGCTAGGTTGGGAAGGGGTATTGTGCTTGCTGATGGCATCTGGTGGGTGAACAATCTACAGTGAACCTAACAGCTCTATGACAAAGAATTTTCTGGCCCAATTGTTAATAGTGCCAAAGTTGAGATCCTTTGGTCTACATATAACACTGTGTGTGACACCATATCCGTGTTTATTATTCTATGTCTGTCACCAAATAACTTCATCGTTTTACGACCAAGAGTGGCTCTGTGTCTGTGTGGGACTTTGCGTTTGTGTAAGTGCACCTGCATCAGACTCTGCATCTGACTCCACCTCTCTCCTGCCACTTCTGCCCACAGCTCCAATTTCCYCTGCAAGAGTTCATCCTGGCCATGGGCTTCTTCCTAGTCCTGGTGATGGAGCAGATCACGCTGGCTTACAAGGAGCAGTCAGGGCCACCACATCGGGAGGAGACAAGAGCTCTGCTGGGAACAGTGAATGGTGGGCCCCAGCATTGGCATGATGGGCCAGGGGTTCCACAGGCTAGTGGAGCCCTGGCAGCCCCCTCAGCCCTGCGTGCCTGTGTGCTGGTCTTTTCCCTGGCTCTGCACTCAGTTTTTGAGGGGCTGGCAGTGGGGCTGCAGAGAGACCGGGTTCGGGCCATGGAACTGTGCCTGGCTCTGCTGCTCCACAAGGGTATCCTGGCAGTCAGCCTGTCCCTGCGGCTGCTGCAGAGCCACCTACGAGTGCAGGTGGTGGTTGGCTGTGGAATTCTCTTCTCATGCATGACACCTCTGGGCATTGGGCTGGGTGCAGCTCTGGCAGAGTCTGCTGGGCCTCTGCACCAGCTGGCTCAGTCTGTGCTGGAGGGTATGGCGGCTGGCACCTTCCTCTATATCACCTTCCTGGAAATCCTGCCCCAGGAGCTGGCCACTTCTGAGCAGAGAATCCTCAAGGTCATTCTGCTCCTAGCAGGCTTTGCTCTTCTCACTGGTCTGCTCTTTGTCCAAATCTAGGGGACTTCAAGAAAGGGGCAGGGGAAGTTAACTACCAGGTGCCCTTGTCTTCCCTCCTCTCCCCTGGTGTGTAAGGAATAGGAAGGAATGGGGACAGGAGGTATTGAGGACCAAAGAGTTCTCTGGAAGGTAGGGATGTAGCCTTTGGAACTATGACTAATGAGAGGGAAGTGGGCAGAGAAGAGGCTGGCCTAAGGAACATGATATGGCCAAGTCACCAGAGATATGATCAGGGGATATTAGGATTGGGACAGACCCTGATTGCTAGATCAGAAGTCTGACACTACAAATAGGGATAAGCTGACACTGGGAATGCTGGCGACAGGCACCCAGCTACTGTGTAATAAAGGTAGGGAGAGGTCCAGGGTCAGTGTCCTGTTGGCTCAAGCTCATTTCAGCGCTCTGCTGCTAGGAGTGGATCCTTCCTACTTTTCTTACCTCCTACTTTCATATCTTTCTCCTTCCCTTCCTCCAGTGGACTAGTGCCAAATGGTCTCTCCCTGCCAGTTTTGATAACTTCTCTGGCCTCTCCAGCTCCAATCACTCCTCTATTTTTAAAGTGCCAAACAAATCTTTTCCCTCTTTCTCAAAGCACAGTGATGTGGCACGGGGTCCTACCCAGCACCTCAGTGGAGAAGACSTACTTGCTCTTAATTTTGGTTCCAGAATCTGGTGTGGGGCAGAAATATTTGCTGGGATGGATTGGGTGAGGGGAGGGCTGCGGCCACCTAGTAGCTGCTGCACCCTAAGGATACAAACGTGGTCATGGTGCCTCATGCCCAATGATAAACACTGAGCTGCCAAAACTTTTTTTATACCTGAGGAGCCCAAGGGAGAATGGTCATTTGGGGGGAGGGGGTACTGAGCATAGGGCCATATTCTGTAGAATCTATTTTACTAACTGACCTGTTTTGGGACATGTTACCCAAATAAAAAAATGTTTCTATACATCTCTGTGGTATCGGATTCATTTCTCTTGGAAGAGGGGTGGGCACATATATGGCCAGCCGATTGGAAGACCTGCGTCCCAGATGTTTACAGCTGTTGTCTCACTCTTTTCACTCAGTTCCAATAGTCCTCTTTCCTGAAATGACCCAAAATTTTCTGCTTTGTCTCTTCCTTCTTTCCTCCCTGTCTCCACCCCTTCCCTTCCCCTCATTCCCTCCCTCTTCCTTTCCTCTCTAAATCCCTCTCCCCTTTGCGTTCTGAGGCTACGGAGTGAGTGACCGGGAACTACTCCTCCCGGCGTGCCCCGCGCGGGGAGGGGGCGGGGGGCGGGGCACGCCTCGGGGTCCCGGCGTTCGCGGGGCTGCCGGGAGATGCAGTCCGCTTCCTCTCCGTGCTGCGCGGCTGCGGGCGTGAAGGGGTCACGTAAACAAACTACCAGTCCCGGCGGGCCACGCGCCGCAGGTCAGGACTAGGCAGGAGCCGAGCCGCGGGGCTCGCGGAGGCGGCGGCGGCGGCGGCTACTGCTGGGGGAGCCTGGCCAGGGCCCGCGGCGGAGGCCGTGGCTAGTACTGGGAAGGTGGCGGGGAGGGACGCGGGAGGAAGATGGCGACGTCGGGGGCGAACGGGCCCGGCTCTGCCACGGCCTCGGCTTCCAATCCGCGCAAGTTTAGTGAGAAGATCGCGTTGCAGAAGCAGCGTCAGGCCGAGGAGACGGCGGCCTTCGAGGAGGTGATGATGGACATCGGCTCCACCCGGGTGAGGGGCCGCGCCGGGGAGCGGGAGCGAAGCGGAGCAGTTACGGAGCGGAGAGGCGGGGCAGGGGCGGGAGCCGCAGCCCTGGAGGCGGAACAGGGTTGAGGCGACGGCGGCGGGCGCCGCCGTCTGGGAGGCGCGGGTTGAGGGCCGAGGGGACTGGAAGACGAATTTTGCTCGGGAGATGGAAATGCAGGAGAGGTGGGGGATGTGGGTGCGACTGGGGGCCGAGTACGTGAGACGGAGATGGGCCGAGAGGGAAGATGGGCCCCCGAAGTCCAGGGGAGGTGGGGAGTCCTTTGCGTGCCTGGAGGAGTCCCCTTGGGGACTCCACTGAAGCATCTTGGGTTATGGATTTTAGGATGGACTGCTTGTCCCTAATTTGGCTCTTCTGAGGTTGTGCTCTCTAGACTGGTCTCTGCCCTGTTGTGCCGCTCTCAGCACTTTGGTATCTACGGGAAAGGGCCCCTTGAGTGGTTTGAAGGAGCAGTGTTGGGTAGAGTGGGGCAGGAAGTCCCCTCCTGCGTCCCGTCCCTTTGCTTCCTTTTTCAAGTACTTCTTGTGGTTTCCTGACGTGAGTGAAGGTGAGGTCCACTGCTCACAGGCTGGTGCTCCATCTTTTGCCCTGGCCGCCTTGAAGGAAAAGTAGAGTTTTGAATCCCAAAACTGGGTAACTGATTTTTTTCTTTTTAGGTTGCATAGAACCCGATGATTTGCTGGACTTTCTAGGGAGATGCTGCCCTGTGGGTCAATTTCTGGAGTGCCTCGGAGGGTCCCCCATGAGGGGGGTATATTCACTCCTAGGAAATTCTTAGAATTTTCGGGTCTCTGACAAGCTGCCTCTGAAGCCCCTCTGGCCTTGGTTTCTTGCTGACCAAGGTTGGATGTCCAAGGAGCCACTGTCAAAAGAGTTTGCCCAGCTGGTATGCAGTGCTAATTTAGGGACACATTATTCTCAAATAATAGGTGAGAGGATTTTGCTGTGATTCCCTCATGGCAAAGAACTGGAAGAAATTTAAAGGGAGATGGTGGACATAAGTGTCGCATTTCAATGCTCCTTGTGATTGCATCTATCAATGATTGTGACTCTTGGTTGTATTTTTGTGTGCCTCTTCCTTGATTCTGTTAGTCTTTTTTGTGTTTTTCCGCCTCTGAGTCTCTAGGGACCATGTGCCCTAGATTATGAGAGCCAAAACAGAAAAAGATAGGTGGGGAGGYGTGTGTGTGTGTGTGTGTGTGTGTGTGTGTGTGTGTGTGTACATACACAGGCATATGCTTGCATAACCCACTCTATCTACTATGAGGATTATGCTCTAACGCTTGACTGCTCTCTAGGAACTTTTGATCATAGGGGTAGAGAGAGAAGATGGGAGAGGGGCTCATCTTCAGCTGAGAGCTCTGCCCTCTGGGCCAGGATTCTAGCAGAGGCATGGTGTGATCTTAGGGCTTGTATGTGCAAACAAGGCTGTGAGAAACTCAAAGCTGGGATTCCTATTTGTGGTGCTTTGGTTCATCAAAAGGACCTTCTACCTGCCTTTTCGCTCCTGATTCTTTTCTGCTATGTAGAAAAGTCTAGTGGACATTCATGGCCAGGGCCTGGGGACCTAAAAATCTTGAACTAGCAATGAGAGATCTGGGGCTCAGCTTGTTACCTGGCCAGTTGGGAGGGCTCATTTGAATCAGATATGGCCGTATTTGTTCTATTGAGAGGCTAGGGTTGCCATATTTATTAACAGTGGTTTTGAAGGACCCAGAGGTAAGCACAGTGCCCACCAAACTCAGTGGGTTGAGCTCCTAGAACAGGAATTCGGTTTGATGTAGGCTTACATGGCAACACTGTGATCCTGGAAGCTTTTGGAATTTACCATCCTCAGCTSTTCTCCTCCCCATGGCCTTGCTCTGGGTCTGTTTGTCTGGTGGTAGTGACTGAGGACACAAATCTGCAGGCAGGCTAAATCCATGTCAAGCTGAGGGATATGGTGTATCACTTCTGTCCTAGACTTATTTCTCTGAAATAGGGGTAAGGGCCAGGGAGGTGGCTCTGGCCCAGGCTGGAGTGGGCTCCTGAGCCCCCTCCTACCTCCATTCACTAGGCTTCCCTGCCAATTAAGGGGCCTTAGGATCCAGTGGAAGTATTCTGCTTTTCTAGTGGGGAAAGCCATTATTTCCTGGATCTTCTAGTTTGGGAGGTACAGGCTGTGATTTGGCTGGGCAAGTGGCATAGCCTAGAAGCCTGTGTTCTCTTTGAGTGTGAAGGAAAGAGGATGGCAGTAATGGATCTATATGACATCCACCTGTGACCTTGCCCTTCTAATTAGTCCTGGATATATCTGGAAATGAAACCAGAAGTGCCTAATAGGACCCATCTCTGTGACTAGTCCCTGGTAGCCCCTAGGGACTCTGCTTAGACTGATGCTGACTGAGCTAGGCAGCGGCGATCTCACTGATGAGGGTAGGCTGTAGAAGGGCTGGTGGGGTTGTTTGCACCAGGTCTCTGTGGGCCTTTCTCCTAGCACTGGCTTTTCTTTTTTTTTCCCTTTTCCCTAGCAGATACCTTAAAAGCTGCAGCAGCATATCCTGGTGACAGGGATGGCACAGATGGCCAAAGGGAACAGTGCTCAGGAGTCTCCCTGACATTCCCATTTGTCCTTCATGTCTCAGTTACAGGCCCAAAAACTGCGACTGGCATACACACGAAGCTCCCATTATGGTGGTTCTCTGCCCAATGTTAACCAGATTGGCTGTGGCCTGGCCGAGTTCCAGGTGAGTGGACATCAGCCAGGGAGGGGTGGAGGTTCCTCTGCTTCCTCTGCTGATTCACCTGTCCCTTTTGGCAGAGCCCCCTCCACTCACCTTTGGATTCATCTCGGAGTACTCGGCACCATGGGCTGGTGGAACGGGTGCAGCGCGACCCCCGAAGAATGGTGTCCCCACTCCGCCGATATCCCCGCCACATATCCTTAATAGAGGACAGGGAGTCTGGGAGGTAGTGGGAAGGGGTTCTTCAGGGAGGCATGGTAGCAAGACTTACTTTCGCAGTACTGAGGGTTCCCTGCCACTCAGCTACACCCCAGCCCTTTTTATTTTTTGAGATAGGGTCTTACAAAGTCACTCGTGCTTACCTGGAACTTGTGATCCTCCTGCCTCAGCCTTCTGAGTTGYGGGGTTACAAGCACGAGCCATCACGTCCAATAGGAAGAGATGTTAAATGTTGTCTGGTTCCGTCCTTTTCCAGGAGCTCACCTTTACCCTGCCTCAATGAAAAGTGACCACAGTCAATGTGTCAGGAGTTGCTGCTCCTAAGGCTTTGCCCTCCTCTCTGGCTGGTCTCAGCTGTCCTCACTTTGGCTCAGTCTGCTGCACAAGTAGTGGGCTCCCTATGCTCTGACTAAGGAAGGCTTGATCCCTTCGTTTCTGTTGTTTCATTTCAGTCTCAGAGACCCATACACTCGTCTCCCCTAAGTCCTGCCCAGACAGTCTCCTAGATTGTTCTAGCTCCATTATGCCTGATACTTTTTTTTTTTTTAAACACAGTACTGAGGATTGAACCCAGGGCCTTGCCAATGCCAGGCAGGGACTCTGTTACTGAGCTACATACC